TTTTTTTTTTATCTATGCATCCCATAGCCAAGGCATCCATCACTAAGTATTGGGAATTGCTAAAGCTATTTTTTTTTTTACTCAAACCCACCTGCTTAAAAGAAAAAAAAAAAAAAAACAAAATAAAACAGAACAAAATAAAACAGAACAAAAAGGCATCTTAAAATAGATGCAGTTCCTTTGCCTCGAGGAATACAGATCCAGATTTGGCATTTGCCAATTTGGAAAGGGATTTGGATACAATGGGAGCAAAAAAAAAAAAAAAACCAAACAAAAAAAAAGAAAAGCAACAAAATAAAAAGCGAGGACAAAAAAAATAGGAAAAAGAATCGACTTAAAACACAAAAAACCACGAAAAGTCTGTAATTGCTACAGTTATAATATCTGTATATGTGAGTGAGGGTATTTATACAGTGTATATATCTACAGTACATACATGTATACACACGCACATATAGCAACTTAAACCAGCTCCTGCACACTCCTCACTGATGGGGACAGCATCAGCTCTTGAGCCACATTCCTGCCAGCTCCAGCCTTTTTTAGGATCAGGAGCTGAGCCCAGGGCTCCCCTTCCCAGGGTGGAGAGGTCAGGGGTCGGTGTGGGTGTCGTACACCCGCGGGTGCTGCGGAGATGAAGGTCCTTCGCCCCTCCCTCCCCTCCTGGGGGCCCCCCTGGCCACAGAGCTCAGCATTCCAGCGCCCAGGAAACCTCAGCATCCTCATGGAGGGGCCTGGGATGTGCTGGATGCAGATTGGTTTGGGATAGGGCTTGTGTTGGAACATGCACAGGCAGTGAGGGACACCCGGGGTGGCAGCGGGTGGCTGAAAAGCTGATGTTTGTGCTATCTTTAGAAAATTAAAGATTGTCCCACCAACAAAAAGGAATTTAAACAAAACAAAACAAAACAAAAAATAATTAGAAATAGATCACCCTAATCAAACCAGATTTTTGCAAGAGTACTAAGATCTGGTTAATCAAAGTCCTACCTCTCTAGTGGATAATGTGCCTTTTTTTTTCCTCTAGCCAAGTCTCACCTCTCCAAACAAGCACGTCCATACTCAGCGTTATTATGATGAGGACAACAACAAAAAAAGCCAAAAAGTGAAAAGAATACAAATGAAAGACTCAAACTCATGCAAAGCACGTTGCTTTAAGGCTGCTGTGGCGGATGTTATGGATGCACAAGAGCTTTTCCTTCCCTTGGGAAGGGCTGGGCTGGGAATGGAGGGGGTGGGGTGGGGCCTGGGGGTTCATCACCCGTGTTCTGGGAATCCCAACTCCCCTTCACCTGCTGAAAACTGAAATCCCAGGACAAGGCTCAGCCTTTCCCCAACCCCCCTCCACCACGGGCATGGATTGAGGCTGTGAGCTGCTCCAGCAGGGAAACTGAGGCACAGGGATGCACATCCTGATGGGAAATCTGGAACCCATGGAGCCTCCCCTTTGGCATCACACTGCCTGTTGGGGATACCCCCTGCCCATGGCATTTTATCAGGGCTAATGCTAATGGGAATGGGATGGGATGACACAGGATGGGATAGATAGGGTGGGATGGGATGGGATGAGATTGGATGACACGAGCTGGGATTAGATAGAATGAAGTGGAACAGGATGGGATGGAACATGATGGATTAAATGGCCTGAGATGGGATGAGATGGGTTGGGATGCATGAGATGGGATGGGGTGGGATGGAATGCAAGATGGGATGGAACGTGATAGAACGTGACAGAATGGAATGGGATGGGATGGGATGAAATGGAACAGGATGGGCTGAGATGGGATAGGATGGGATGGGAAGGGACAAGACAGAATGGAATGGGACAAGATGGGATGGGACAGGAGCTCCCACCGTGCAGCCCAGCACCTTGCAGCCACCACAGCTCAGCACCCAGCACCAAGCAGCCCCTTCCAAGCCATCCAGCAGGAAAAAAAGTGGTTCCACCCAACAGAGAAGGACAGCGGGTTTATTCTAGTGCAATATCCACCAACTTTCCCAAAGCATCCTCATCCTCTCTGGCAAGCAAGTTCCAGGCTCCTTTCTGCTGGAAGAGCCGGCCTGGGGGCTGCCCAGGGGCTGGGTGGGCTCCGGGCTGAGCTCCACTGGGAGCTGACACCTCCCTGCACCCCCCAAGGGCTGCGCCAGCCTCACGCTGGCAGGGAACAGCCTGCTCGTGTTTCCTGGCACCCTTTCCAGATTTCATCTCTCTTGCCTAGTTTTCTTGGCAAATTCTTGCAGGGTGAAGCTGTTTAATAATATTTTCGGCGGCATGCAGGCTGCTGGGGAAACGCAGCCAAAACACTCTCCCTGCCGCTGCGGATTTGCCACTTCGGGCCAGCCTGAGGGGGAAGTTCTGACCTGAAATCCTGAGTGTTTTTTTCAGCAGTGAGATGGCCTGCTGAGCTGCAGGGGATGGAGCTGGGGACTCCAGCTGCCAGGTGGGATGACAACAGGCGGGTGGCAACTGTGTCCCCTCAGAACCAGAGGTGTGAGGTGGTGGGTGCTGCTCCACCCCCCCCTCCGGGCACGAAGGAGGTGTTTTCAACCAGCCACAACCCATGGGGAGCAAGAAGAGGATCTTTGGGAGCAAATACTTTGTTGTTTTAAAGCACAAGAGGACATGGAAGCGGTGGGGAAGCCCTTGGCCACAGGCCAACCACAGGCACCTCATTCTTGGCTCGCAGCGCTTGTCCCACGGTGTGTTTGGGACAGTCCATCCTGCCAAGGGGAAAAAAAAAACCCTTCCCAACATCCCTCACCGCTTGCTCTGCTCTGTTTTTTTCTCTAACTCGAGTTTTTGGTGGGGCACTGGAGACCCCTGATGAGGGTGAGATGGTCCCTGGCTGACCTCTCGCCACACACTCCCTGGGGAATCCCATCTTGTGGGGTGTGAGCACGCTCTTGGGACCGTGTCCCTAATCCCCAAAATCTTGTCCATCTCCCTGCTGTCACACCAAGACTCAAGGAAAGGACTGTGCAAAAGCCAAGGTGCTCTTGGTGCTCTCAGTATCCCAGACAGGAGGAGGGGTGGGTGCTGCCGTGTTCCCCACCCAGTTGGGACCTCTCAGCCCCCACATCTGTGCCCAATGGGGAAGATTCAGGGGAGGGGGAGCCCTGTTCTTGCTTCACCACTAATTAACAGCTGCAATTAACCAGCCTGGCCAAGCACTCCCACTAATTGTTGCCTTGCAGTGTTTTGCAGGGCTGAAACAACAGGAGCAGCCTCCTGGGTGAGCCGAAACCCCCGAGTGGGGTCATGCTGGGATGCTGGGGCAGTGCCAGGATACTGGGGCCATGCTGGGATTCTGGGGCCATGCCGGGATGTTGTGCTGAGGGCAGGGGTCCCAGCAGGCCCCCATGAGCTGGGGTAGGGCGATAGGGAGTCCCTGGCAGCCTTAAAGCAAGTGCTCCAGCCGGCTCTTTCCGCGTGGGCAGCTCCACACCCAGCGCAGAGGCATCTTTGGGAAGAGCAGCGATGCCCAGCCGCCCTCTGGGATGGCAGAGGGGGACTTTTCAGGTGCACGCTCTGCACAGAGGGTGACCCAGCTCCCTGTGCCACCAGTTCCCCTGTTATTTAGGGGGGGGATTCAGCTCAATCCCAAATCCTCTGCTGTGAACTGGAAGGAGAAGGCTCTGTGCAGCCACGGGTGACTCATTCACGGGGCACGGCCGGACCGCCTCTCCCTCCGCAAAGTAACTACCGAGACTACTAATAATAGTTAGAAACCAAAAATAGAATTCTTTTTTTTTTTTT